TGTTGACCGGACGCTGGCAGTAGAGTCCGGTCAGTTCATTTGATCAAGTGAAGTCGTCTGGATGCTACCAGATGCTGAGTGAAAAGTGACCAGATGCCGGGTGCCAGAGTCCGTTCAACTCTAGTAAGGTTCCAGAGAGAGAGAATCCTGATCGGACGCGTTCGGTCAGTGCTGACAGGACGCTGGTCAGGTTTTGGTTACTGATCAGACGTTGAATAGCGAAGCGACCGAACTCTAAGTGCCAGCGTCCGGTCAACATCAGTAAGGGTCTAGAGAGCAGTTTTTGTGACCGGACGCTGGTCAGAGTCCGATCACAACTTAACGTCTCTATGGCGGGGAGAATTGACCGGAGCGTCCGGCCACCTTGCAGAGTGGTGTTTCCACCTCCTAACGGTTCGTTTTGAATGAGGGGGTATAAATACTTTCTCTATTCATGCAAGGAGGACTCTTGCCTATTTCAACAACTAAGAAACATCCTTGAGAGTGCCAAGGAGAGCAAGAGACTAGTGAGGTGATTGAGATTTGAGAATCCAAGATTAAGGCCTCATTAGTGAAAAGAGAGTAGCAAGTGTGCATCCACCCTTCTCATTAGGTTTGTTGTGGTCAAGTGAGAGTTCTTGCTTGTTACTCTTGGTGATCGTCATCACCTAGACGGCTTGGTGGTGATTGAGAGTTTGGTGATCATCCGGCGGAGCTTGTGGATGACCCAACTCAAGTTGTGAGCGATTGTGGGTGATTCACCGTGACGAAGTGTCGAAGAATCAACCCGTAGAGAGCACTTGATCCTTGCATGGATCAAGGGGAGCTACACCCTTGCGCAGGTGCTCCAACGAGGACTAGTGGGGAGTGGCGACTCTCCGATACCTCGACAAAACATCGCCGTGTTCCTTCTCCTCTCTTTACTTTAAGCATTTACATTTGAGCAATTCAATTCTTGTCTTTATATTCTCAGAATTGCCATGCTAGAGTAGGATTGGAACTTAGGGTACTAAACTTTTGTGTGGTAGATCAATAGAATCACTTTCTAGGCACAAGGGGTGAAGTGGGCTAACTGTAGGGTTTATTTATTACAAAGAATTTTAGAAGTAGCCCAATTCACCCCTCTCTTGGGTATCTTGATCCTTTCATAACCCAATAATTAAGCCATGACTATTCTGAGGCTGGGGAATTGATTTGATTGACCAGATTTTTTCACCTTCAAGTAGAGGGCACAAGTTTTATTGGTAGCAACATATTATTTTACTAAGTGGGTTGACGCGATTTCTTTGAAAACAGTAACTTAAAAGAATATGGTTGATTTTGTTAAGGAGCATATTGTTTATCATTTTGGGATTCCTCAAATCATTACTTCTGATCAAGAACAATGTTCACATCAGACGAATTTAGAGATTTTACTACCAGTATGGGAATTAAATTATTAAATTTTTCTCCTTATTTTGCTCAAGCTAATGGCTAGGCAGAGACATCCAATCAAATTTTGATTAAATTGATTAAGAAGAAAATTGAAGAGCAACATAGGAAGTGATATCTGACACTTAATGAGGCATTGTGGGCATATAGGATGGTTTGCCATGGATCAATTAAATCATCACCTTATGAGTTAGTATATGGGCATAATACAGTTCTTCCTCAGGAGATTCATACTCGATCAAGATGTGTTACATTGCAAAATGATTTGACAGCCAAAATCTATAAAAAACTTATGATGGATGATTTGGAGGACTTAAGTTGTTATCGGCTGCGCGCTCTTAAAAATATTGAGGCCAATAAATTAAGAGTTGCAAGGCATTATAATAAAAAGGTCAAGAACAAACAGTTTTGCGAAGGAGAGTTAGTTTGAAAAGTAAGATTGCCGATTGGGTCTAAGGACAACAGGTTTGGCAAATGGTCACCTAATTAGGAAGGTCCTTATCGGATTAAAAGGTGTGCACCTCGTAATTCTTGTATTTTGGAAACGCTAGAAGGGGAAGAGGAATTTGATAGAGCAATCAATAAAAATTCCTAAAGAAGTATTATCCTAGCGTTTGGATTAATACTTGATAGCCGATTTATTTTATCGCCGGCTCTAATAGCCGGTACCAGGAGGGTATCGCCTTTAGTTCAAAAATCAATCCTAAGGGGAAAAGCCCATACAATATATGTCGCCTATAGGACAAAAGTACACACTAGGACAAAAGTACACACAAGGACAATCAAACTTATATTTCAGTAGATTCATAAATGCATTCATGAAGAGAAGCAAAAATTGTATTCAAAGATAGTTTGTTCGTAGTACAAACTATTCAAGAACTTTATTGATTACATCCCAACAGATATTTTCCGAGAGGGATTTCATTGTCGGCTGCTAGACGTTCTGCCATGTATTTATGATTATAAGTTGGTACGCAAGATGACCCACAAAAGATAAATTTTTCTAGCCACATATTCAGAAAAGCTACATGCTCTCTTTCATCAACAATCGATCTAATATGGTTCAGAATATAGCTTGCCTATCCTGTGCAGTCTGATATCTTAGCTAATTTCTTGAACTCAGCACTTGAGAAATCGTACGGTTGCATTGATCCTGTTATTCTAAGGCCGATCAACATGTTAATATCGGCCAAAGTGATGGTCATTGGACCATGACCAAAAATAAAAGCATTCAAAGTGTTGGACCAAAAGTAAGATGCAGAAATCAGAAGTGAGTCATTCCTCTCCATTCCAGATAGCGAGAGTGTCAGGCATTGATTCAAGTCATAAACTTCTCAATCTCTAACATTTTTCTCTGATACCCTATGGAACCAATCCCTCCATCCCTTATGCATTTTGGGCCAGTTTTTAAATGGAGTTTTGGTGTTCCAAGAAGACAAATCTACTACAGATTGTTTGAAAGAGATTTGGTTGGTTTCTTGATTGATAAAATCGGATGGATCAGGGTTACCCATAGGTCCAAGATAATAGGCATTAGTAACAACAGCTGATGAAATCAGAATTTTGTCCCTCATTTCCTAGAAACCAGTTGGGATGAATTTAAGAAAAAGAAAAATACAGAGTAGCGGCTAACACTTGAAAGGAAGAAGTTTTAGGCATATCTCGGGAATATGATTGTTGGTTGCCATTGTAGCCAAGATGGATCTGAATCTGAGGAAGGTTACATGAACGGTAGCTTGGTACGGCAGAGGATTTGCTGGGGTTAAAGCTTTTGCGGTGGCAGCTTTGGCTGTTGAGGTTTGTTCGAGAAAGAAGGAGAAAGTAAGCAGGCCGAGCGAATTAAAAATGATATTGTTGGGGTATTATATAGAATTTGGCCCGAGAAGTCAGGAGCCATGCGTTTATTTTGGAATGAGCGGCTGCAACACGGGGATAGAATAGGAATTTTAGAATAAAATGATTTTTATCCCAAAATTAGGGGTATGTGTTTACACCAAAATTTGGAAAGAAGAACGCGTGAACTCGAAGCTTCCAGGATTGTGTCATTAAGGAATCGATTGGATGAGAATCGGTATCAGCTGATTTAGATATAATGTCAGAATCGGCTATTTTATAGATGACGTCAGCAGACAACGTCAATGGGCTATACTTGAGTGGTGCCAGAGAGACGTGTCGGACTCTATGAATAAGAAAAATTAGGGTTCAAGTTATTATTAAGTTAGAAAATCTTCTTTTACTCCAAGAATTGTAATGAGTCGTATTTGAGTTGGATTCATGTTTAGGTTCTGGGTATAAATATTAGACCCTGGTTATTGTAAAAAGGGACGAACATTCAATCAATACAATCTTTTTGGCTTTTGCCATCGCATTAGGAGTAGGAGTATTGTAGATCTCGGTGAGTTCTTCAGCAAACAGGGCCGCATCGACTGATCGACCTCCAGCTTGCTTGTGAGTACTATCACGACTTGTATTGTTCTTCTAAAGCTGCATCAGCTGATTGATCTTTTATGAGCCATAATATAAATTAGTTATCGATCTGTATCGTAGTTTGTAAGGCTGCATCAGCTTATTGATACAATATCACAAGTTATTGATCTTGTGTTAAATAACTTGTTGTTTAATACAATATCACCAGTTATCGAATCTGCTGAGATTAGTAAGATTTTCCTTGCTACTTTTGATTGATTCACCAGTTATCGATCTTGTTATAATTAATGTTTTATTAATTATAACAAATCATCTGATTGAGATAGGGATAGATCGACATCATATCATCTTAATTGGTCTTCTAGTCTGGTCACACTTTAAATCTTATGATTGATGGTTTAATTCCGCTAGATCGGCTGCTCTATTTCTATTCCAATCAAACATAGTATGCATTCAAAGACATGTTTCAATCTTGAATAAACTAATTAGTTAATGAGATCTAATCTAATGACACTACCATAGCTGCATCGATCCAATTGAACCTCACTGGTAAGACTTTAGATTAAAAATTATCGATTAGTGATCTTGTTCATGATCAAGATGTATACTCTGTTTGTTTGCTATGACTGCATCATTATTTTAGCCGATTTTCCTATACTCTCACGTATATAGCATGTTTTTATGAATCTGTCAACATATAGATGGTTTTATAGATTATTTGGCTTTAGTTTATTATCATTAACATAGCTACATCGATCCAATCGAACCCCACTATTGATGATAATAGATTGGATTCAAACTATTTGTAGATTCATTTATATTAGACAGTCAATTTGTTCGCATGTTATACTCTTTTCATGGATATGCTGGATATCGACTATTAAGTCGATAGCCTCATTGAATCGGCTATTTAGCCGTACATTTGGAACTGTTTGGTGCAACACCGACATATTTCACCTTAAATTACTGATAAGATTTTCTCTCATTGTCAATTGTAGGTCAAATTGACTAGCACGTCGTTGGGTTTTTTAGAATCGGCTGGTTCTGTGTTGAAGCCAAGCAGATCTCTGATCTCGTTCCACTCGGATCTTCCGGCTTGCTGTGTGTTAATCACATCGTCACATTTTTGTGTCAACAGCTTCTTCCAGTACGCCAACTTGGGGTCAAACCCCGATGTGTCTGGGTGGCACACTGCCAACGCTCGCACCATTTTCGGCAACATCGACAGTAACATTGTTGTTCTCCTCTATCTGCATTGTCACCTCGTAGATCCTTGTCGGGTTGACGGCATGGCAGTAGAACACCGCAAATGGGAAGCTCATGCTGTGGCATGTCACAACGCTTGCCTCCCCGCCTCCATGCGCCACACGCACCACCACCATCTTGTACATACGCGACGGTGAGCTGATGCCCTCCCAGGGCACATCAAGGGACGAGGATCATACATGGAGGTCGCGCGTCCCTAGCACCGACGCCGCAAACTCGTGCATGGACTCTATGGATGTGGCGCAAGCCTTCTGCTCACCGGCCACTTCGCGGGGATGTTCACATGAGTTAAGAGTAGACCACATGTCGCGGGCCATGGAGAAGGACACCGGCGCGAACATGGCGATGATGGCGGTGAAGTTCTTGGTGGACATAGGGACCAAGTCGGCGATGTCGCGACGAAGAGGCCGAGCATTGTTCGCCCTGCCGATGTAGAGGTTGATCATGGACCCTGGTGTGAATACGTCCTCTAGGAACAACAATTTTTCTGTAGCTTCTCAGTGCGCCCAGTTATTCAAGATCTTTGCATCTCCTTTCGTAAGCCGGTCTAAATGTATAGACCAATAGCGTTCTTTTCCTATCATCTCTTCCCTCTCATTTCCTGTAGGATGTTTTTTAAGTATGAGTCAAATTAATCCTAGTCTATAATATTATACAGCTAATACAGGATATGTTGAAACTTTGGAACTCAAGAACCATCGGATCCTTTATTTTTCTACATAAAGACATGTAGATAAGTTCTCTAACAAAGACCAATTTTCCCCGTAACCATTTCTTTGGGTGTGAGTGAGAGAGAGAGAGGGAGAGGGAGAGAGATATACCAGAAGGTGCACTGAAACGGTCTAGTATGGGTGACGGTATGGGTGCCTTGGGAAACACTGACTGCCAGTAGGCATTCAGCTCAGAAGTTGAGGCATAGTAAGGCACCATGGTCCCTTTCATTTCCATGGCCAGTGCTGCATACGGACCTCCTCTAGCCATGGTAACCTGTACATCCATCATCGACCACATAGTCAAACGGGAGAAAAATCCATTAATGCCATATTTGACAGTTAGCTTTTGACATCTTATGTTTTTGACAGTTACTTTAAAATTTTCTTTAAATGCGTATCTGGCACAGACCCAAGCGGTAACCATATGAAATAAACATCCCATCTAGAACCTCTAGAATTTTGGCACCACCTATACATGGTCTTCGTGTGGTTTCAACAACCATTAAGAAATAATAGATAAATGAAATCTATGTCATGTTGGTGTGCCAAATCCTAACCGTTTGTGTTCTATATGTCAAAGTTTTAAGGTCTTTCTCTATAGGAAACAACTATGTGAGGAAGTAGGCCGTTTGAGACAGAAGATGACGTACCAGAAGTGATAGTAGGAACAGAAGAATACCCATTGTTTATCTACTTAGCCAACCCTGCTTCTCTGTTGCTCTATGTTCTCTCCAAGCATCGAGTCACCCCTATTTATAGGAAATGACGCTACTTGCTCACTCAACTCCTCAATTATTGCTTGGCATGAAGAGTTGGCAGTTGTAGGTTTCAAGCTAGATTAATTCAAATCTTTCTAAGGTGACCGATAGCCACCTCTACGTTCCACGTGGAAGGTCGCTTGTTGCATGGACACCATGTGCTAGAAGAGCATGTCACATGTGGCTCTTTCAAATTACTATAATGATATTTTAGTAGAGGACACCTTTTAGCAGCTAGCAGTCGGAAGTATTTAATGCATCCATGATGTCCATAGTGGTTGGGAGTTGTTATGAATATTTAATGTGTTAATGCTACCAAGGTGGTTGGCATTTGTGAATATTTAATTCAGCCATGCTACCTTGTGAGCCACTCGTGTCTCGTGAGCAGCAAAGTAACCTTGTACACGTCATTCATATGGCTTGATCCAATTGATCTAAAAGTTTTGCTTCGTGGCTAAATGCATACATATGTCGTTTCTTGATGGTGTCCCATCACCACCGACCGCACCCTCTTCGACTCATGGATGGTGAAGTTGGGATTCGAGGTAGGGTCATGACCATCATTGAAATGCTTGTGTCCTGACTATGTCGAAACCATAGACTTCATCGTAGAGGCTGCTAACTGAAGACGCTATATGGTCAAACCCGACAGGAAAACGATAAATTACTTTTTTCTTTTTTAGCATTGGTATGGTAGCTGTTTACACGTAAGAAATTAAGTCCACTCTTAGAACCCCCAAAATGTCTTCGTCAGACCAATTGTCACATACATGTTCTTGTGTCATGCTTGGACTTGTAAAATTCTTAGAATCTTTTAAAAGTCCAGGTACTAGTAGTTTTTCAAGTGCCCTTTTCACTATGTTTCCTGAGGTGCAGTCCTCACAAGTGTCGGTATGACCGAACCTGCACCGTGATGGTTAGTTTTTTGGGTGAGCGTACATAACCCCTCATCACTCTCTTACCCACCTTGAGACAAAACTGACCAAAGCATAACCACCCCACCACTCTAGAGCTTAACTCTGTGATACATAAAGTGTGGATTGACCGGGAAATATTAGGTTGAGAGATTGATAGCAAGAAGTTCATTCTAACCACTTGAACACTAGAAGACTCACTTAAGGCATGGATTAGAGTTTGTTACTCTTAGATCCATTGAATCCTAGGTTCATTGAAACACCCAAAGATTTATGGAGTGAACAATGAGAATGTATGCATCCTTTTGTGGATTGCCCATTCTTCGGTTTAAATCGTGTGTCTCTATGTGCTCATGTTCTTCATATTCTTGATCTTGTTCTTGCTGACTTTTGGTGAGAGACCCTGATCTAGTTGTTTAGGCATATATAAGTGTAGGTGATACTCGAATCTAGCTCTTACACATGTCCTGGAGGCCTTGCTAAAAATTTATTCAAGCTTACTTGGCTAAGTTCATTGAATTTCGTAGAACTAATCGGTCCTTCAGTCATTGAATTTAATTCCATTACCTATCTATTTGAATGAGTGATAAAACTATAAGTGCATGAGCTACATGAGAAACGTATTGAAAATTGCAATTATCTATTTATGTATTTTGGTGATAACCATGTGGTTATGAAATTTTTGTATTCGTGCTTGTCCCAATTTTTTTGTTCCGCATGGTTTTTGGTCTGATCTTTTTTCGCCCATTTTTCTTGTTTTTTTGTTTTTCCTCATAAATATCATCGATAAATAATAAATACTCCCTCCGTGTCAAACTATAGATTGTTCTTGCTTTTCTAGATAAAAAATAAAAACTATATATCTAGATGTATAGCAAAAATCATGTGCCTTCTAGAATACTCAAAATGGCTTATAATTTAGAGAGGAGGGAGTACAATATATAGGCCTTTCAACCATTGACCCTTTCCTGAGAAGCAAAGGTTTCAACCACCAAATTGTTGATGTAGTTTTGATTACAAAGCAAAAATTATTCTTATAATAAAACCTATATCACCCGGTGGTCCAACTAATCAAACCTTGAATTGAAATCTTGAGCGGTTTGTTGTCAATCTAGTCTAAATAAATTTATTTCTGCAATCTATGATGAAAACTTTGACACGTCGACGACTAGCTCCTCGTTGAATTTAATAAGATAAAGTCTAATTACATATTTTGTGGGTCCTCAGATAACTCCTCGGCGACTAAAATCTGGAGAATTATATATATTTTGTGGGTCCTCACACAAAGCTCGATATTTAACTATAGCAACAAATGGATAGTATGAACATTAAAGTTCTCATATATTTATGTCTAAATATTCCTGTGCTCTGCAATGGTAGTAGAAAATCTATCGATATTGTTCTAGTTCGATACAAACTTAATATAACATTGTCATATTATTATCAATATTAACTTATCTTATATATGTCATATCATCATAAAATGAATTATAGATTTTTAATTTTATAGAAAAGAGTATTATAAAACATAAATAGATATGTATCCCGTTGCCATTTCCTAGGTACGTTTGACGGGTTTTTTTCTCTCTCTCCGTTGCAACGCCCCGTGGATGTTCGCTACTTTCATTTAAAAGATAAAACCCTCCCTGAACCCCAGGCCACCTAGGCCGAACCCTCCGCAGCAAACCACTCGGCCCAGGAGCCCCTACAACCGGCCCTTTCTCCTCCCAGCCCAGTCCTACCTGCATCCGCCTGGCCATTTCGATCCCCTCTTCCCCGCGAACAGGCCACAGGCCTGCTGGGCCTCGGCCCACCCAGTCACACGCAGCAATTTTTCTGCTAAAAAACAACTGGCAACACATCAGCAATTTTTCAGAATGTTTGGAAGGAGCATCTCAAGTTCTTTAAATTTTTTTCTTCGCTCAAAACCTAAAGCCTATTTATTTCATTAACGGTTCAGAAGATGAAATCCACATATGTCGCACGACGAGCCACTCCAGTCCGCTAGGAGCTGTGATCGATTGCTTTACTGTTAGGCAACAGTTAATTTTCTTTGATGATAATGAAAGAGTTCCGGCTTCAGTTGAACGCAGATAATAGGCCGTCGTTAATGAGCAGTCGTTAATGAGCAGTAGGATTAGAACTTGAACTATAATACTAGTGCACTACAGGGCAGCAGTCGCCGCTATGTGTGCAGTACAGTAGTAGTTGTTGTCTCACAGTGGTAGCGGGGTAACCCGTGTCTGTTTGATAGCTGTTGGTGAAGCATTCACTTGAAGTCTTATCATTCGAAAACCACCCGTAGTATGGCCTCGTTTGGCTGGCAGAATTTTGGCTGAAACTGACTGAAAAACACTGTTCTAGCTAAATTGTTGTGAAAGAAAAAACACTGTTCCTGCTGAAAAAAAGAAGCCGAACAAACCTGAATATGGGAGTAATCCGAATGGGGCCTGTGTGTATAGGAGTAGTGACTGACTACGTATATCACGGTATTATTAGCCCACTAACCTAACTGATCGAATATTCATATAGTCAGTTACTTGTTTTTGTTTTCCTTTCTATAAGATTCAGATCTTAATCGTGTACCCCTGGTTTGCGACGCTGGTTCCACCAAACTAGCGTGCACTGTAGCTCATCACTCATCGCCCATCGTTATCAGGATTCAGGACTCAGGACTCAGGACTCAGGAGCATCTCTGCAACCAGATCTCGAGGCTTATTAGATACTCATATATTGCTAAACAGATATGATTCTTCATACACAGGTAGTCAGGTACGAGTAGCAACAACATCCTGTCTAGAATCTCGTTAATTAAGCATGCAGCAGTAAACCTGAAACATGGTTCTCGTGCCTCGACAAGCTCCTCATGTCATGTATGAGGGGGAAAAAGCGCCGTGGCTTCTGAAGTCGCTGCCAGGCCCCACCGGCCCCATAGGCGCGCCTCTGTGATCGTGCTCGCAACTCGCAAAACACCTCGCCTAAAAAACACTCCTGGCATGCATGTCCGAACCTGATGACACTTTTTTTATGCGCCAAACCCCTTCCCCGGCCCTTTGGAGGCTCGCGGGTTGACAAATGGCGGATCTCCGTGCAATTAGGGCAACCAACCAACCAAAGTACCAAACCCTTAGACTGACCAGGCCATCAGGCACACGCACACACACACAAACAAACGGAGACCTTCCGGTACGAGGCGGACGTGAGGCCCACTCCCCAGCCACGGATCTCTGAATCTGAGACGACGATAAATGCCTTGGGGCTCCAGGGGACAGCGGAGGGACCGGGCATGATGGGGGAAGGAAGAACGGACGCATGGAGGCAGATACGCGTCAAGGCGGCGTCATGCGACGGTGTCCAGTACTCCATGATTTTGGATCTCTGATTGCTGAACCAAAACCTTGCCGTTTTCCTTCCGCCATGATGGCCAATATCTCGCTGATCGCGACGTTCGTTACAAGAAACAAGGTGGGTGTAAATCCTTCGGTTGAGGGGCACTTGCCCCGTGGAACTTTGTAGTGTTTTTTGTACAGAGCGCCAAGGAAAAGAGCATCAGCTGTTCAGTCCAAAGCAACGAGATCGCGTATCAGGGTTCAGAAATCTGACCTGAACCTTACGCTAGCACGCACAGTGGAGTATCGTATAGTATAGTAGTATAAAATTACCAACACGTCATTTGTCCCTTGGAACTCCAGCCCAGTGCCCACATTTGCATGTGCAAGCTTCAAAATTTCTCCCGGTCTACGTTTTACGAGTCCCAACCGGGGTCAATGACAGCATCCAGGAATTGCACCGCGGCCAAGAAATTCGGCGGGCAAGAAAAGTAAACTACTCTACCCGAAAAAGAGCAGGATTCATCGGAGCCAGTGTCGGCAGAACGGAACCGCCCCCAATCCCCTTTTGGGATCTGATGCGGCGGATCCGGTTGGCACGGCGTGGGCGTGACCTCTGCTCTGCTGCTGCTCTGCACATTCAACTGCTCCTGCCGCGCGAGCCCGGTGACCGGCACGTCACGCTCACGCCTGCGGCCTGCGGGGCGCGGGGCGCTAGCGGCCGTGGCCACGCGGCCGCCGTGACGCCGGGCCACCGACGATTCCGCCGGCGCCCGCACGTTTGTCTGCGTGGGTGGAGCGCCGGCCGTCCCGGTCCGGTTTTTGATGTGTCGGTCGCCGCGGCGCTGTGGCGTTCGCGCACCTGTCCCTTGGATCCATGTGACCTGCTCGCCTCTTTGCCCCGCAGCTGATGATGACCTTTTCAACAGGTGTACTAAACAAAGCGCATCGGCAATGATTAAGGGGTGGGATTTTCCACTTTTCAAACAGGTGTACTAAACAAAGCGCATCGGCAATGATTAAGCGTCCAGTTGTTTTTTTTTTCTTCACAGTCGGAGTACGAGTACTACGTACATTGTATGACAGAGTCCAAGACAGAATGTAGGTCGGCTAAAGACCACTGGTACTTCCGCTTCGCACATTTCAGTGTCCTTATTAATTTCTAGGTCAACTGGAATTTGTTCGAGAGTCTCTACTCTGAGTTTGTTGCCACAAGGCGACGCCCACAATGTATAGTCTGATGCTGCTAAGAGCAAGTATAATAGTAGGTCTGTAAGCAGGCTAAATGCTGTCGTGGAGAAGAGAAAGGAGAAGCGGGTTGTAAGCTTACGGCCGGTTTAGACACAAGAACCGAAAAACTCTGTGAGAGAGACATGTGGGCCATGTATTAATGCTGAAGAGCTAACTACTATGGGCATGTTCGCTGGTTGGTTTCTGTGCTGGCTTGGGCTGGCTGGTGCTGGTTTGTTGTGAGAGGAAAACACTGTTGGCTGGCTGGTTTGGGCTAGTTGATACCAACAAGCGAACAGAGTGTATATGGATGGGCTGAGAGGTAGTTTGCAATGGTCCTTGCAGCCGGGCTGTATTATTAACCTTGCTCTAAGGTGGAGTACGTGCAATGTGGTCCATCAATTATAGCTTGGTGGTCAGCGACATGTTGTTCCATCTGATGTCAGTGTTATTACATTGCACTTGGCCACTAATGCTTGTGCATACCAAAATGCTGCCCTTGCCCATGAGAGCGGTAAAAAGAGGTGACGGGATGCTCTCCACTGGCGGAGCTACCCATCGGCCAACTAGAGTTTCTGAGGAGTTCACCTTACTCGATTGATTCAGATGTTCAAACATGCAGCAATTCCAGAAGTCTATGAACTAGAATCAAGCTCAAGCTTGCACGGTCTTGAACTCTTGATCTTATGTGACAATTGACATTCCTTCTACCGAAGAAAGCAAGCTGCGGCAACAGGCCTGGCCCTTATGCTCCATTGATCACCAGTGATGCCACAACGTGATAAAGCTGACTGCTTGTATATTGTAGCAACTGGCCCCTCCTTGGATTGACTGCGAGCTCCGCCCCTGATGCTCTCATTTGACATCAAGAACGCTGCTTACTGATGTCAACACGGTGTCACCTGTCACGGTCTGACTGTGCAAGCCTGCCACTGTCACGGCACAAGATTTCAACTTGCGGTCACAACTCACAAACAAGGACTTCTATCGTTTCCTGTTTCGAAAGGCGGGAGTCAGTTTCAGGTGGCACAAGTCGCCAGCAAGACACGACACGAGCACGGTCCGCGTGCCACATCTGTAGACCACCAGCAACTGGTGAACGGAAATCAGCAAATTGGCCGATGCCCGGGTAGTCTCTGCAGTCACGCATCCCCTCCTGGTCCGCACATATTCGTTGCTTGCTTCCTCCCTTCCTCCCGTTCTCGTCCTCCCCATCCCTCACCGGCCAGCGGCCACCGCCACGTCCAAAGGCGGCCGCGGCTACGCGCACGCCACTACTGCCCCACGTCCCGCGCAACCGGCCCAACAACACCGAAGACCGAACTCGGCTTGCCAAATCCGAAGAAGGATACAAAATCCCACGCCAGCCGGACGCTAACGAAAGCCGCTCGCAGTCGTAATAAGCCTCCGTCCGTCGTCCGGAGCGCCCCCGTAAAGCCAAACCAAAACCTCCCTTTTCCCCTCCGTTCCGCACCCCACCCCACCCCTCCTCCCCTTCCCCGGTCTCGCGCGATCCGCCGATCCGGTTTCCCCGCGCCCGGTCGCGAGCCTCCCGTCCCGATCCCGCCGTTGTTTCGGCGGCCCGGTTCCGCCCTCCGTTCGTCGCCTTGTTGCCGGGCGGTCTGGCGTTGATGCGGCGTGGCACCGGGGCTGTGCTGTGAAATTTGAGAGGTGTCGGTGCGCGGTGTTGGCTGGCGCCCGGGAGGGCGCGGCGGTCTTCCATGAGGCGGCGGCCGGTCCTGCCGTCCCACCACGACGACATGGAGAAGGGCGGCGGGAAGCCGGCGTCGTCGCGCCTCTGCTTCCTCGCCACTCTCTGCGCCATGTTCTGGGTCCTCATCTTCTACTTCCACTTCGCCGTCATCTCCAACGAGCCGGCTGGCTCGGCGGCGCAGGCCACGGGTGTCCGCATTGACCGCTCTCGCATCCGCATTCCCGAACGCGACGGCGCGTCCCGCGTCGACGTTCCCCTCGCCCCGCCCGCCCGCGCGTCGGAGCTGCCGCCTCCTCCTCCTAATCCTGTCGCGCGCCCCAAGGAGGCGGAGGCGGAGGAGGAGGAGCACGCCACCGAAGTCCGCCGGGAGGAGGCGCCGCCCAAGGCTGCGGCGTCGTACCCGTTCGAGCGGGCGCTCAAGACGGCGGAGAACAAGAGCGACCCCTGCGGCGGCCGTTACATCTACGTGCACGCCCTGCCGCCGCGGTTCAACGAGGACATGCTCCGGGACTGCGAGAAGCTCAGCGTCTGGACCAACATGTGCAGGTTCATGAACAACGACGGGCTTGGCCCGCCCTTGGGCAACGAGGAGGGCGTGTTCTCCAACACCGGCTGGTATGGCACCAACCAATTCTCCGTGGATGTCATCTTCGGCAACAGGATGAAGCAGTACGAGTGCCTGACCAAGGACTCGTCCATTGCCGCCGCGGTGTTCGTGCCGTTTTATGCTGGGTTTGATGTGGCAAGGTACCTCTGGGGTTATAATATCTCGACGAGGGATGCCGCGTCGCTTGATTTGGTGGAGTGGCTGATGAAGATGCCGGAGTGGAGTGTGATGGGTGGGCGGGACCATTTCCTGGTTGCAGGGAGGATCACTTGGGATTTCAGAAGGTTGACGGAGGAAGAGTCAGATTGGGGCAGCAAGCTGCTTTTCTTGCCGGCTGCAAAGAACATGTCGATGCTCGTGGTGGAGTCGAGCCCGTGGAATTCAAATGATTTTGGAATACCATATCCTACATACTTCCACCCAGCCAAGGATGCTGATGTTTTCCTTTGGCAGGATAGAATGAGGAGCTTGGAACGCCCATGGCTCTTCTCGTTTGCAGGCGCTCCACGTCCTGGTGATCCAATGTCCATCAGAGGGCAGCTCATCGATCAATGCAGGAGCTCAAGCGTTTGTAAATTGTTGGAGTGCGACCTTGGGGAGAGCAAATGCCACTCCCCGAGCACAGTCATGAAGATGTTCCAGAGTTCTTTGTTCTGCCTGCAGCCCCAGGGTGACTCCTACACAAGAAGATCTGCATTTGACTCGATGTTGGCTGGCTGCATACCTGTTTTCTTCCATCCTGGTTCAGCATACGTCCAATATACATGGCATCTTCCAAAGAACTATACAAGGTACTCTGTATTCATCCCTGAAGATGACATCCGTTCTAGAAATGCCAGCATTGAGGAGAGGCTAAAGAGTATTCACCCAGATGTGGTCAAGCAAATGAGAGAGGAGGTCATCAATCTAATACCAAAGGTGATATATGCTGATCCAAGATCGAAACTGGAGACCTTGAAAGATGCATTTGATGTTTCCATAGAGGCAATCATTAACAAAGTGACAAAGTTGAGAAGAGATATCATCGCAGGCCAAGAAGAGAGAGATTTTATCGAAGAGAATAGCTGGAAGTATAGTCTGTTAGAAGATGGACAGCGGATAATTGGACCTCACGAATGGGATCCATTCTTCTCGAAGCCCAAAGATAAAGGTGGAGATTCTAGTGGTTCATCTGCTGAAGCCGCCAAGAATTCTTGGAAAAGTGAACAGAGAGGACATAGTTGAACCATGAGTTTCTCATCTTTGAGATGAGATCAAGGGAGCAGAGTTAGCGATGCTTTCTGAAGATGCTCTGATGCATATACGTTGCACATAGGTCAAGATCCAATAGTTATGGTGATCATGAACATCATTGATGATCTATGTCACCCTACAGTTGTACGAAGCCATTCCACCAAAAATGCTTTGGGGAAATTTGGAACACAGCCTTTTCGTACCCCCTATAAATACCATTTTCACACTGATTTTGCTGTTTTTGCTCAATAATCCTTTGTAAGCCCTTACAGGATTTAGAGGTATATCAAATTTTGTTCCTGCATTGCTTTGGTTGTTTTGCTGTGTTCAAACTTAGAGCTATATGTTTGGATATCACTAACAATTTGTTGAGATGTTCAATATGTAATCCAAGAGGGGCATATGTATACATATATTTCCTCATACACACTGTTTTCTTACTGTGCTGTATGCTTTAAAAGGAAGTGTTTTGCAAATTTGTGATTTGCGGTAACTCAAATATATTTACAAAATGGCAGCTCATCTGTTCGTTTTTTTTCTGTACTACCTTATATCACTATTTGTCTTGTGACTTCTTTGCCAGCCTATATAGTCTTTTTTAGTCAATGTGGCATAGTGACCTGCCTGTATTGATTGCGCTCAGATTAGCGATGTTATGTTAGTTCTGTAAGTACTGATGATCTGATGCTAACTGGGACTGGTATGTTTTAAGAGTGAGCCTTCAAGTAAGTTGGACCATGTTATCAATGTGTTCCTTTTCATGCGAGATCTATGTGACCATATGGGACCACATCTCATCTGACACTATCTGTTTCCTTCAAACTGTGCTTTCATCTAATTGGGGAATCAAAAGCATATGTTGGTGTCAGTTATCTGATTGCTGTGAATTGAACGGGTTTCACCAAGACGTCTGTAAATGTATGTGTTTGTGAAACACAGGATCACATACATACGTGCACATATACCCGACCTCTACAAGCACAGTCGAAAGACTAGCTGATAGATCTCAAAATTGATGAAGTCACAAATGTCTCATTGTCCATGGATACATCATCTACCACTTGAAGAATAATGCCATTAAATCTTGGATTAAAATCAAGAAAATACAAGCACACTTATCAAGTTGATAATATACCAAGCATACATATCAAGTTGAGAATATATATACATGTCAGGTCGAGAATTTGAACTCGAGTTTACAGATTACACCACGACAGAGTTTAGTTGATCAGCGGATAATGGCCTCAAAGAAGTCTGAAGGACGAAGCAGAAGAAAATTTAGTCCTAAAACTCAGTTGCATCATGTGAAGTTCCTCTAGCTACAAATTACTGTACTGTGCTCGATCTTACTTCAAAGGAAGGAAAAAAAATACTATAGCTGAAATGCAGTATACTGTCAGTGGGCTACTACATGTATTTGGCATGTAATGGTAAATGGTAATATTTCCAAAATTCTCTTCGACATGGACCACTGACACCGTTAAGAATTTGATATTTTGGATTTTAATTCTCCGTTTGGTCAGTATTTGCTCTTGGTTCGTGGGCACTGGGCATACGTGTTACCTGTCAGTCATCTGTTTCTTCTTTTTCTTTAGTGGTCCCTGCCGATGTAAATGTGGGTTGGTTTATTCTGAACTGTACACTATTGGCAATCAGTCTCTGCAGATGACGAATTGACGATGGCACGCAGCATGCTTTCTTTGAAAGTTGTTATACTGCCGATATGTCTGTATAAGGAATGTTGAAGCTTTTACAGGAGTAGACAGAAGAATCTAGTGTTTTCATTTATTCAGTATAGTACCTGACGTGCTGGTGAGCTACGACAAGCTAGGCACACCATTCAACTTCCATGTTGAATGCTATCCTAACTTTTGTACTACTATATCTCCGTAACCCCGTTCATGATTCTATCCTTCAATCCGTTTCTTAATCACACTGTGAAACGGAGGAAGTATTTATGGATTCCCCATCGCTAAATAAATCAATTTCTAAAATCCATGCCAGGTCAAACTATCTTAAGATTGACTAAAATTATAGGAAAGAGTAACAACATTTATGATATAAAATGATGTTGAAAATATATTTTATGTTGTATATCTAATGATATCACATAAATTTTAATAGTTTTTTTTAAAGATTTGGTCAAAATTTAAAAAGTTTGACTTAAAACAACTCTAAGAATCTACTTATTCAGAGACAGAAGGAGTAGTACGTGTCTAGTCTCATGGACTGTACATTCACATTGCGTATCAGCATATATATGCATGGTCTATATATATTCTTGCTGCAAATGATTATTTTCTTAGCATTCTTATTTAAATCTATGCAAATTGGAGTAATGTCCTTCGGCACATTTTGAAAGAAAAACAATACATCTGCCAGTCATCAGTTTCCATAGACGTGCACAAGTCAAAAGGGCATCGCAATTCGCAAGCTAAAGGCAAATAATGTCCCCCTCCATGTTCCCAGGTTCCTGCAGTCCTGCTGAAATTGGCTTCATGAAAGCGGAGTATTGTTCCGATGTTTGGGACTCGAAATTTTGGCCCATGCAAGAAAGCAAGCGGTGGTGACGTGGTGTCACCTCAAAGCATAGGATCCAGCTGAGAACTGACGGCATAAAGCATAAAGGGTTATTATTCTATTGCTTGGTTCAGTGCCATTGTGCCAATGTCTGACAAAGCTAACCAAATTAAAATTAGGTTCTAAGATCTTGCGGTCAATAGGCCAGTGGTTATTGTGGTCATCAATTATTAGAAAAGGTATAAATCTACTATCTCTAGTGCTCTAGATACAGTGTGTGTTTTTCAATCTCGGTAAGCAATAAATTTTGACAAAGAAAACCTCATAGCGCATCTTTAAACTTTCCTTTCAATTAGTCGTTTGTCAAGGCGTCTTGTTATTCTCAGTAATATATAGATCTAAAGGGACTTTTTAGTGTCTATTTCGAGGAAGAAGATATGTTTTCATCAATTTTAGACACTATTTGGTTGGGTTTCTCTTTCTCCTCTAGCCACATTAGTTCACAAGTTCGCAAAAAAAAAAGTTGAGCCTAAATTTTAGCTTAGTTGTGGTAAATTTGGTTTAAGACAAAATTAGTCCTTAACATATATATATATATATATATATATATATATATATATATGTTATGAGGCTTTATTTATATTCCTTCAGCGAAAAAAGGTGACATTTTGGATATGAGGCTTTGCTATGCTACTCTAGTTACTTCTTACTAGAAAATAAGGCTTCAAAAAAAGCATGATCCTCGAACTTTAGAATAGATGGATACTTCTTCCGTTCTTTTTTACATGTCATACTAGCTTTGTTCTAAGTTAAATATTTTTATTTTTTATTACCAATTTAAAAAGTTCCATGTAGTTTCACAACATATAAATTATATATTATAAGAGTATTTGTTATAGTGAATCTAAAAACATAAGTATTGTATTGTTAAAATGTACATTTTAAAAAAAATGATAATCAAAGTTAGATATGTTTTACTTAAGAAAAAGGTAACACGGCATGTAAAAAAATAGAACGAGTAGTTTTTAATGTTTCAAAAGAAAAAAAAATCCCCTAAGATCTCAAGGCAGCGGACCTGAGATAGTATGGGCCGTTCCAGAAAGAAAGAATAGCGATGGGCCTTGCGTATGAGGCAACCGTGTGTGTTACTGCCCACCCCGGCGGCCCGGCAGGCCGGCACCTCCCTCTCTTCTCTCAAAATAAAGGATGGCGCATATTGTTCTTGTGGCGCCCTGGTGTTACTGACAGTGACAGGAACAGAGAGCAAAGTCAGCAGACTGTTAATGGCCTGTGTAATCTAAAATGTTTTTTTCTATTATTCAAAGGGACCAATTGCTTTACATCCTAAAATTGTAAACGTATAAACATTGGTTACATTAATCTCCTTTCCCTCTGAACATAACCAAAGTATATGAATCAAAACTATGGTAAAAATTGTACATGACATGAGCTACATACAGAGCATACAAGCCCGCTAACGCCAGGGTTGTCTTTGGTCACCGCAGTCTATAGGTAACTGGAGTCCGGCGACGTCGTGAACACCGGCTTGTCCTTGTCCACGACAGTAGCGGCCATCGTGGCGCTGCTGCTCTTGCGACGCGGCTTGGCCTCGCCGAGCATGGTCACCACGTCCCGCATCGTGGGCCGGTCCTTCGGGGACTTGGCCGTGCACAGAACCGCGATCCGCAGCACCAGGAGCATCTCCTCCCGGACGTGGTCGACGCGACCGCCGACGCTGGCGTCGAGCAGCTCCTCCACGCCGCTGTTGCTGCGCAGCCGCTCCCTGATCCAGCCGACGATGTCCTGGCTCTCGCCGTACTCCGCCTCCACCGGCCGCCGCCCCGTGAGGAGCTCCATCAGAACCACTCCGAAGCTGTAGATGTCGCTCTTCTGATCCACCTTCAGCGTGTACCCGTACTCTGCAACAGGCAGCCAGATTAACATCAGTACACGAGGGCGTCGAGGTGAATGAACTAGCTGTTCACGTGACGATGCGGACGTCGGCAATTGGCACTGACCTGGCGCGATGTAGCCGTAGGAGCCGGCGACCACGGACACGGTCTCGTGCGCGCGCGCCATGACGCGGGCGAGGCCGAAGTCGGCGATCTTGGCGTCCATGTTGGTGTCGAGGAGCACGTTGCTGGACTTGACGTCGCGGTGGATGACCGGCGGCCGACAGTCGTGGTGCAGGTACGCGAGCCCGGCCGCGACGCCCGCCGCGACGTTGTACCGCGACACCCAGTCCACCAGCATCTTGCCCTTCCCTCCCCTGTGCAGCGCCTCCCACAGGTTGCCGTTCACCATGTACTCGTACAGCACCATCGTGTCCAGGTTGTTGCTCACGTAGCCCAGCATGCGCACCACGTTGCGGTGGCGGAGCCGGCCGAGGAGCTTCACCTCGGCGGCGAACTCGCCGCCCGCCTCCACGTCCTGCCGCCCGTCCACCGTGGCGGTCTCCTCGGGGCACCCGG